ACAGACGGTTCGCAAGACAAACCCAGAGATTTCAGATGGGAATCCAGAGGGTCACGAGCGTCGTGTGCTGCTGTGGGATTTCTGAGTTCTTCGCAACATAAGGATCGCTGTTTTATTTCCTTTCTAGTCAAGAGATGAGTGGAAGCTAAGAAACAAGTGGCAGGCAGCATGGTGCTTAGGGCCATTTGGTTCAGGGCTAACGGCTCCATACGCCGGCTGGGCAGGGCAGGGCAGAGGAGTCTGCATTGCTGCTCGCTGCGTTGGCCCAGCGCTGCGATAGACCCCAGGTCTGCCACTCGCATCTCTATCACTGCATTCACTCTGGGAAATAAAGGCTCTTTCGTCTTCCTCCCCAGCCATCCTGGAGTGATACAGGATGAGATACACGTCAATATTGTTCTTTTCCATTCAGGTAAGTGCTCTTTTCAGCTAATTTCAGCACTAGCGGCTGGGATAATAATAGGCCCTCTGTAAACTTGTTGAGAGTAATGCAGCCCTTGATGTGGAGGATAAAGTGATGTGGAGCGGAGATAGGCAGAATCACTAAGGTGTATGTGCCCTCATTGGCTGCTCTACTAGGAGCTGATCCAGTTTTCACTGAAGTCTCATTAACTTCACCAGGACTCAGATCAAGCCCTTATAAGTGCAGGCATTCAGATCCTGTACATATGCAGATAATTGTTTCCTTGACTAGCTGACCGAGCATAGCATTTTTTTTTTTAATTTGCCTCCAGGACAAAAGTCCCAGACTTCAGAGTCTCTGAAGAGACAGTGTTTTCTCCAGCGGGGCTGAGCAGCGAGGCTGACACTCTTCGTATGACTTTGGGCCAGGTGCTAGTGACTGACAGTGAATTAATAATCTTCTCGGGCCAATGCCTTGTTATTTGTCTTCCTATTGTTGGAAATTCCCATGATGAGCTCCTCGGTGTTGCTGCGTGTTACCCCTCCATCTCCTCCTTGGATGGTCACAAGGGCAAACGTGATAGGAACGGCTTTCCAAGAGACCCTCACGTGGCCATATCCCCGCTCAGTGATGCTCCTGAGTCTAACTGCCTACCCTGACCGCAGAAATTGGGGATTTCACTGCATTGACTATACTGATTTTCCACGCATCTCTGAAAGTCCACTGGTCCTCCAAGATGAGGCTTGGGTGTTAATAGCCATACCCTGCAAAAAGCTCAGTTTTTGTGAAATTCTCAGATACATTCTTAAATACTAGATAGCAATAGCTGAATCCTGGTACATCAGTCAGAGCTGAGACGACAATGTAGGTCTGTGCTGGGGACAGATGCTGGACCTCCCACCCTCAGTATCCAAGGGGAATCGGTGTTCACAGCAACAGGACACAAAGAAAAGACCATAATGTCACCGTGTTATTTCCTATAGACCTGTAGCCTTTACTCCTAGTGACTTAATTAGCAAGTTTGATGGAGTTTGGATCCATAATGCTTCCCCTGATTTCAATAGACTGAGTTTGCCAGAGCTGTTAAAAAATCAGCACCAAAAAAAAAAATCCAAGGTGTGACAACATTTCCAGAACTGAAGCAGGCGACGAGTGTTAGACACGAAAGGCATTTCACGCGCCAAGCAGCCTGCCCCATGCCGAGCTGTGCAACCTGTGGGTGCGCCTGCACGGCGCGTCTTGGTGTGAAAACAAGAGTGGGGAATTGCACTCCAGAAGAAACCAGACTCTGGCAGAAACATTGCAAGGCCAAGCTAAAGGGAACGGGAGCCTGAATGGGGACGTCTGTCTCCTCCTGGCAAGGCACACCAGCCTCCACAGCACACAGGGGAGCAATGTGGCCTGTATGTCATCCGGCCACCTTCGACTTCCCAGCTCCGAAGCAGCAGAGCTGGGATATTCCTTTGGCATGAATCCAGCACAAAGCTCCAACTCCCATTTCTGGACCTTTACAAGAGGCCTCCCTTGGGACTCACCTTGCACTTTGCTCAGACAAGGAAGCCTGGCAATGGCAAATTGTATCTCTGCTGTCTGACAGGTCACATCTGGATGATGGGAAGAGCGCTGGTTACTCCCCGCCAGGCCCTGGATGCTCTGTGTCCAGGCTACCCCCTGCCTCCCGACTGGTGGCTCTGCACTCCAATGAGTGAGTTTGGGGGGACCAACCCAAGGTGCCTTAAAGGGAAACAGCTGAGGCTCACCCTCCTAAAACGGAGTACGTGGTTAGCCTTCCCGATTAAGGGGGGCTTATAGCACTGCAACAGGTCACCCAGAGAAGAGGTGGATGCTCCGTTCTTGGGGGTTTTCAAAACCCGGCTAGACAAAGCCTTGGCTGGGATGGTCTAGTTGGGGCCGGCCCTGCTTTGAGCAGGGGGTTGGACTAGGTGTGACCTCCTGAGGTCCCCTCCAAGCCTCGTTTTCTGTGATTCAAGTGTTTTCTTGCAGGCTTAAGCCCATGCTCCGAAAGGTGCAGCAAATGGTCTGAATCCAACGGTGGCAGATGTGGAGGCTACGGAGGGAGAGCATTGAACCAGGTATCTCTAGAGCTACCTGTCCCCTATTCAGTGCTCTTCCTGGCACCCGACATGCGAGGGTGCCCAGTGTCGGTGAACCGCCGGCACGGCCCTCGCTCCAGTAGTGCCAGGAATGCAGGTGTGACGCCTGCCGCTCCCCTCCTCACGTGCCACAGCCGGGAGACGAGGCAGCGCGGTGGCCCTGAGTGCAAGTGGACCGGGCGTCTACGAGCAGTGCTGGGAGTGCGCTCAGCTCCGCTCAGGGGTCAATTTGGGTCGAGTCGGAGCGAGCGGATCGGGCTCACCTCTCTGTGGTGCTCCTGGGCACGGCACAGAGACAGGGCACGTACTGTAACACCAAACCAGGGCATTTCCATTGCCCCTTGGTTTCCCATCGTACTTCCCTACCCCACCGCGGTGGGGCGTCCTGAGATGGCAGCCAGGAGAGACACAGAAACACTTACAAGCTCCGGAGAGCGACATCGGGGGCCAGACCCGACGATCTGCAAGGTCCCTTCCAGCCCCTTACCGTCTATCGAATAATCTGTGAATTTTCCTCACCAGCTGAAGGGTCTAGTCCCCCCCACTCAAGTATTAGAAATGAAGGACTGCGACTTGTTTAAATCCCTCAAGACAATAGGGAAACGAAGCTAAAATCCAGCAGAGAAGCTGGGGCGGGGCGATTCTCCCACCACCTCTGAGCCCAGCAGAGACACTAAGGACTGAGTCGACTCCTTTCATTAAAGTCCAGTGTCCACCCTTCCCTGTCCCTGCACTGCCCCCAGCTCCTGCTGGAGAAATCAAAAGAAAGGCTTGTTCAGGGCTGTGCCTCACTAGCACGGCAGGCTGCATGCACTGCGTGGTTGCTTCTTTTCTTATTATTTTTCTCCCTTCCTTTTTCGGAAAAGGGCATGATTTAACTCGAGCGGAAACAACTTACCAGTTCCTTCCTGAGCCAGTTCAAAGCTTCATCAATGCTCCCAAAGCCGCTGAGTCTCCCGGAAGGGACAGTCACTTTCTCCCGGGAAGCACTCCCGTTGAGATGCACCTGGACCTTCCTCACAGGGGCGGCTTCCTCCGAGGGCTTTTTGGGCTCTCTCACGGCTTCCTCCGCAGAGGGCTTGGGGCTCTTCCAGGCTTGCTCTTCAAGCTTTGCTTTCCACTCCAGGTAGGAAGGGCGCCGGGTCTCCAGCCTCAGTTTCTCCGTCAGAGCCTTCAGACTTCTCAGGTGGTCGTCAGCCGGGGCAGCGCTCAAGGACACGGCATTGGCGCCGTCTCCCACCTCCTCTATTTGGATTTGTGGCAAAGACATCCTCTTTTGCAGCAAAAAGTCCCAGGGGGGCAAGGGCAAAGTTCAGGACAACAGCCAAGGCCGGGGAATCCTTATGGTAGGGACAGCTTCCATCCGTGGGCTCGATGCATCAGGGCAAGCTCTCCAGAGAGGAGCAATCACGTCGGCATCTTCCCTGTTCAGGCGTCGCTTGGATTGGGGGAAACATCTACAAAAGAAAAAGGATTTGGTTCAGCTGCCAGGAGCAAAAGCTGAGCGACAGCTCTTCCTCCAAGCTGGTGGAGCGCAGTGCGTGCCAGACTTGTTGGAAACCACCGTGCCGAGCCGTTCCCGGGGTTATGTTACTCCTTCAGCTTCCAGGGGGTGTTCCTGGGCAGGAACAGACAAGCTCTGACTTTCACAGCAACCTCTTTCATGAAGATCTCGCAATCCTTAAGCTTCAGACTGGATGAAGGCTGCTAATGGGGCCTTGCTCTCCCATTACTGGCTGCTCGGTCCCCTGGGCCACAGCACTCACCAAAACTGAGCATCCTGCTTTGCTTTCCCTATCAACCTCTGCTTTAATTGTGGCCACAAGCAACATCAGAGTCGGTCGAGGGGGTTCCCAAGGGCCAGGGCATAACCAGGTGCCTTCTGGTGCCAATCAGGTGTTGCAGGGAAGCTGCTGATCTAGATGGACCATTGATTTATTCCCCACCAGACAATCCCTACACCCTTCCAAGTAGGGATGGGAAACCAGATGAAAGAAGAGCCAATGCAAATGTATTCTCAGAATTGAAGCCAGTGGAGTTTGGCTACCTCTTTTTTTTTCCAGCCTAGCTTTTCAGAGCTAAGAGGTCCAATTACATGCAATTAGATTTGCTCAGGCACCCAGACTGGTGCTCCCAAACCACCGCATTCAGAAGTGCAACCCCCTGACGTGCTTGGGGTTGGAGACTGGCCAGCTCGTGATACAGGGGGCTGCTGTGACAGGATTGGGGTTCAGGCTGAAAGCTTCGGGGGGTTGGTTGTGCTACACCGAGATCAAACCTGGACTATTAAATACATATACTTCTGCCCGACTTGCGTAGTGCCCGGCTGGTACTCACCTTGCACTGCTCTCCTTTCCCGTGAAGATAGCAGAGTACTTTGCAGAGACCTCCCGGCTTGGACGAAGTTCAGCAGAGATGAATTCATGAAGCGCAGCTCCTGCTCCTAGCTCCCCGGTGAGCTCTGCTTTCTTTCTCTGTGCCTCAGTGGTCCCATCCGTCAAATGCACTAGAAAGCCCTGGGAGATCTGTGAATAAACAGCCTAGGTAAGAATTAAGCATAGCCATGACCCCAGCTTTACTGCTGGCTGATGCCAGGCACAAATATGTGACTTTCTCAAGGTCACACGTTAGGTCTGTGGCGGAGCTAGGAATAGATCCAAGGCTCTTGTCTACGCGGATAAGGCAAAACAAAAATACTTATTGCCTGCTTGGTAGCATGCCCGGAAAGGACTGCCAGGATGGATCCAACCGTCGAGCTGAGCACATTAAACTGTTGTAATCTGAGTTATTCAGCAGTTCCTCTGCCTGCTACTTACGCCCACGAAGACTCATGTAAGTCTGAAACCAAGACCATAATTACGCCTCTCAAGTCTTTTCAGAGAAGATTCAATTTAAAATAAACACACCAACAGAGAGCAAAGTCTGCCCCGCCATCGTAGCCGGGCACGTGAACCGAATGGGAAGCCGATGCTATACATCCTGAGGGTGGGGAATTGTTCCAGTTACAGGCTTGTTCCTGCTCCCATTTGGGGCCATGGGAGTTTTCTTGGGAACAGAGGACAGCCTCGTTGTGCAGGGAGACCTGCGGAAACAGCAGAAATTTTGCATCGGTTGAAGCAGAGGGCTGGGCTCATCTCCTTTGGGGCTTCTCCGTACCGTGGTGGTGATGCATCTGCGCACCCCCTGCCCACCTGTCTCACCTGCTGATGCGTTTCCAAACCAGAAGCTCGGTCCAGGCTCTTCCCCAGCACCTGCCCCCGAGATCTCCGTCTCCAGCAAGCCTGAGAGCAAGCGCTGGGGACACAGCCAGCACAATCCTGCCGGAGGAGGGTGGGCTCAAGACAGCAGGACTGGCTCAGCCTCAGCCCCATCCCCCCGAGACTCACCACCCCTGCGCTCTCTCCCCCAGACCCTCTGAGGTCTGCAGGTGTCTAAACCCCCTTAGCATCACCTGAAGGCCCCTGTGCATGATATGAGGACCCTAATCTTTACTGGGCAGCAGCAGTGCCCAGAAGACCTATTCGTGGCGTAGTTGCTCTTTCACTGTGCTGGGACCTGTACGCACTCCTCAATCTGCTGCGTGGGTTTACATGCTACTTGTTCCTCCAAACAGATATAGGCCTCCCTCGCATGGCTGCGGGTATCCCACTTACCTGTTTCTGCTCTTGGCAGTGAGGCACATGGAGCAGGAGACGGAGGGAAGGGATTATTTTGTCGGCGCATGGCTGCACACCAGGAGCATCGCAGTGGAGACACAGCCTGTCTCCTACTGCCTGCGCACGGCGGAGAGGGAGAGCCCTGAAACCACCGCCACAAGATCGGGCCTTTCGCTCAAGCCGCAGACAAGCAACTTTCCCTTTGCCCGGGTCCCGCTGCGAGGACTGTCTCTCTTTGCTGCCGTCTCGCTCTTTCTGCCAGGAGATACGCGCTGCAAAACGAACGGTGTCGGTCCGGTAGCACCTTTGCCCCTAGGGACAAGAGGCCATTTCCACTGAAACACTACTCCTCGTTAGCCTGCCTAAGACAGCATGAATTGATTGGCTTTTATGGCAATGTGCATCCCCTCAGCTCCTTCCAAACCACAAAAGGGACTTCAGCTTTGGCTTCCCCAAAATAGTTCCTCCCCACGTCAGCGGTCCGTTGCGGAAATGGTTTGGAAAGCCATTAGCCTGCAAAAATGTGTGCGTGTCTGGGGGTACATAACAAGCGGTGAGCAAGCCTGACTAACTCTCTACTCCGAGCGTTGCTGGGATAAACAGGATGCTGCTCGAGCCCAAGGCACTAGGGCAACTTCTCCCTTGGGAGGAAGGGGAGGTTAAGAGATGTTTAACTCTTTTGCCATCTTCTTTCATAGATTTCATAGACGTTAGGGCTGGAAGGGACCTCGGGAGATCATCAGGTCCATCCCCCCGCTGCAGGGGCAGGAAGCCAGGTGGGGTCAAAGGATCCCAGCAAGATCATACGATGTCCCAGGGCACAGAAAGAGGAGGGATATTTTGAGCCCCCTTCACTTGCTTTGATCATCACCGATAATATCACCAGTGTGAGTGAATTATAGGCTGATTGCTCACAAAACAAAAGGAGGTGGAGATAGTGCTAGGAAGGATTTCATTTTGAATGGTGAGATTCATGACTTTTTTACTCTTCTGCTTAATCAAGTGAGACTCTACCTTGTCCAGTGTAGACGGCAGCCCTGTCACAGCACAGGCCTTGTCTGTAGTAAGGTGCAAGGGAGGGATCACCCTCAGCTCCCATGAATTTCCATTTGAGTGAAGGGCATTCAGCACCTTGCAAGGTCAAGGGCACAGTACCAGCAGGTTGTCTTCTTTTGTATGGATATGGGGTGGGGGCAAGAAAGCAGGGGGGAAATGTTGGGGGGTGAACCATGTAAAATGAGATTTGGAGCAAGTGGCAAAATTAACATTGGATCTAAACCCAAAAATGAGCAAATCAGTCCATTGCTTCCAGTATTCCTGATGGGCAGATCGCTATAACAACATTTGGAGGAGTTTGATTGCAATGTCCTTGACTATCCTACCTATGTTTTCACTGAGAAAGGAGTCAGTTAGCAGCAAGTCATTAGGCCTCCTTTGTTTCAGGACAGCATCTTTGCAGGATCTTTCCTTAAGGGATCTCAGAGGAAAGTAGCTGGCATGCTGGATGGAGAGTGGGGTGACAGCTCTGGCTTGGACTGCTGGGTCACCTTGAATCTCTCAGTGACTCAGTGTCCCCATCTGTAAAAAGGGTAACAGCCCTGAGTTGCTTTCTAAAGTATTTTGGGAGCTGTGGTTGGGAAGTGCAAATGCAGTAGAGCCTGCACGCCAAAACACAAGATGCCAATTCAAACCAAGCTATTTGGTGCAAGACACTGTGGGGCCACTCTTATTTCAGAACAAAAGGAGCTGGAGCCTCGGCAGCTACCAGCAGTATCTGAAACTAGCCACCCCCATTTCAGCTCCTGGAATAAAATACATGCACATACACTTCTGTATGCAAACTATCCATGCACACACACAGGTGTGCGCCAATGTTGCTCAACAGGTTTTTAAGAAAACAAATGAGCTGAATCACTACAAACATACGTGTCAATCTTGCTTTTGAGTCAAACCCAGGGAGACAAGAGAAAGGCTCTTCATTTATCATCACCTGCATTGTTATTCGTTATATATGCATATAGTGATGAGACATAAGGACCCCAGGCAGGGATAGGACCACATTGTGATACTTATGCACCAGCATAGGACAGAGATGGCACCTATCTCAAAGGCCCTACAACTCTAAGGGACCTTACCAGGGAAAACACTGAGGGTGGAAATCTCAGGCCACCTGAAATGGTTTCCTGGAAGCACAGTCACCAGGACGAGTGGCAGAACGGCTCAGGCTCCCACGCTCCAACACAGGCTTCGGCTCACTGGATCCACGTGGTGCGGTGGCTCTCTTTTCTTGGTGGGGTCACGTGCCCCTTGTTAAGCTTACTACCCTGCTGTGTACCCCGCTGTTTCTGTGCTATGGATAATAAAACAGTAATGCTGGGTGTTATGACAGTCATATTGCAAGCTCTCCACTGACCTAGAGATTGTGGAGTAGCCCTTCAATTTTTAATTCTTTTCCCTTTTTCTTCCCTTATGTTTCCCCTTTCCTTTCCTTTCCTTTTGCATTCCTTCCTCCAATGAGCCCTCTAGCAGTTCACTGAATGCTCCCAGCGGTATTCATATCCTAGCTTGACAAGCACTGCTATAGCAAAAAAAGATCCACTCCCTGTCCTACCCCAGCGCCCACTCAGTGGGAACCCATGGTGTGTGCTGGGGCATGGAGCCTGCTTTGCTGCTGTTTCCCTTCCTGCAGTGCAGAGTTGACAGTGATGAGTCTATCTGCATTTCCACGGCACTGACTGTTGGGCACCCACTTCGATCTGCAGTGCTCTTGCCATGGACGTGGCACCCAGGATTTCGGCACAGATGGGTCATCAAGGTGCTGTCAGGTTTGTCGACTTGCTCATGCTCATGCAACCAGTCAAAGTGAAGAAGACAGTCCTGCCTCTCCACCCATCCCTCTACCTGCTAGACCTCAAATCGCAGAGCGGCCAGGCCTTGGTCAGAGGCTGGATCCTATAGGTTTCTTTTTGTTTTGGATGGACTCACAGTTTAACCAGAGAGGTTACAGAGCTGGGAGGTAGTGACTGCTTACCAAACAGCTCTTTGTGTTTACCCAGAAACTTCCTCTCCTGGGAATAGAAAAGTTAACATCTGGCCACAATCCAGCCAGACCTCTGGGCTCGTGGGAGAGCATATGTTTTGTCCAAGAAAGCACCACGTATATAAACTTCAGGACAGAGGCATCTAATAGCAGTGAGCATATGCAATCAATGCAGCCTCCACAGGGATGAGTCCAAATGTTTAAGACAAGCAAGTGCCCACTCAGTAAAACCCTCCACTGGGTGGATGCTCCTATAAGGGCCTCCGTATAACGGACCTCCAGTAATGCCGCGTGGGTTGCAATGAATTAGGACAACTGAGCTTCCCAGACGGGAACATGAAACACGGGCAATAACTCTCGTTTGAAGGTCTTCACTGCCCAGTGCAGGGAATGGGATCTGGGAGTTGCACCCTACCTGCTTTCATGGCTACAGGCAAGGCATCCCCATGTAACAGAGAGGCTGCTGCTAGGAGGACTTACCTTTCCACCAGCTTCTCCATCCCTTAACCCAGTGGTGCTCAGTCTATCTGTCCTGTGTGTCAGATGAGTAGTGCTGGGTCTAGATTGGATATCCAGAGAAAACTTCTTCACTCTTACAACATGGAGGCAGCCTAGGAAAGCTGTGGACCCTCCACCCCCCGGGGGTATTCAAGAAGAGGCTGGACAGCCACTGGTTTGGGATGCTCTAGGTGTAGCGATGCCTATGTCCTACCACAGGTCTTTCCCATGCTTCTGGGCTTTGCTGGTTGCCTTCAACCCCTTTTTTGCTGTGTGTCAGGTTGTTTTTAAGCCTTCCCCAGAGGCACTGGGGTTGGCTGCAGCCAAGGCT